GGGGGGGGGGGGAGTGCTTACAGAGCTGTACGGCTCAGCACAGGCCACTCTGAATGATTAGACTGCTTCCAATCCAAAAACAAAGCCCCCTCCTCCTACCCCCCGAAAAGGATTAGCCTCTTTCATGATTCATTAGGCATGTCGCACTTAACAGGGTGACCCATTCTTCCTTCCGTTGGCAAAAACATGACCTGGCCCTAGGTCCTGCTGGAAGCAAATGCCGACAGGAAGCTTCCAGGCCGTGGAGGGGAGTCGGTGTGCGCCCCCTCCTCCCGCGGCCACTCCTGAGCCAGGATGCTCTTATTTCCTCAAGTTTCTCGGTGCACGGGCCAGCGGGCAGCTCGAAAACTAGTGACAATTCCCATGCACAATGAGGGCCGCTCTCCTGCAGACACTCAGTGCTGTGTGACCTCCCAGTGGTGTGTGTGTGCTGGGTCCTGGGGACGGGGCAGCTGCAGAAAGCGAGGGCGGGGGTTGGGAGCAGGGGTCGGGGGGCCTGGCAGCTGCAGAACGCTGGGTTTGGGGAGGTGGCACGTAGAGGCAGGAGTCAGGGTTGGTGGCACTGGCCGGGCGTTGCTGCCGTTTCCCCTGTGGCCAGCGGCTCGCCCGCTGCGGGCTGTGGCGCGCGGCAGAGGCCTGCCATCTCGGCGAGGCTCTCCCCCACGGCCTTCGCGAACCTGGCCGAAGAGGTCTCCTGGCAGCTGTGGAAGCTAGACACGCAGAACAGGATGCTCTCGGGCTGCGGGTTGTAGCAGGCGCCGTACCCGTTGGGCACCACGGGCCCGTAGCAGCAAAACATCTCCATGGTTGTGGGCACCTGGAGGAGAGGACAGGTCAGGAGCTGCCTGTTCCGAAATGCAGCCTGCAAGCCTGCTAGAGGGAAGGGCGTCCTAACAACCTGGGGCCTCGACGGAGTGTTTGCTTCACTGACTGTTTTCCACTTGGGCGTTTGACTGAATTAACCAAATCAACAGATGCTTCAGCCTGGATGGCCACGGCCTGAGTCAGAACAACAAACCCATCTAAGCGCTCGGCGTCAGAAGAGGGGCCATAAGCCGCTCCCTGGTGTGAAATCTTCTCTACTTGTGGAGTCAGAAGCTACTGGATTCACCTGCTGCTGGGTCTTGGCTGAGTCTCTCTTTTACCTGGGGGCCTTTTGAGGCACTGAGGCAATCAGGGTAATTTACTAAATGGCACCCTGGTGACACCCACCGGTTCAGTGGCTTCCCTGAGGAGGTAATTTGTGAACTGGAGGAAATCTGGCCTGTCTCCGCTGTCGAATCCCTCCACATCCTTAATTACTGTCAGCATTGCTCGGCTGCTCTGACTTTTCTCCCCACAGCCTGGCCACGCACAATTACCCAGCACTGGGGTTTCAAAGTTTGCCATCAATTGGAGACTTAGTTATGCACCTAATATGTTTTGAATTCAGAGTGCGGAGATTTTGCAGTCCAGATCACAAACCAAGAAAATGTGTTTCTAAAGGCATTCAAGGCATAAGTGTCCATTTCCAGTTGGGGGAAAAAACAAAAAGACCACACCCCAGTTAATTTTATTAGCTGGTATTAGGGGGAAATAGACCAGATTTGAGGGCAGATGCAGGGCGGGTTTGTTTTAAATGCACAGGTCTGGCCGGTGTACTCAGGCCTCAGAAGCGACACTGGTTGTTGTAACAGGTGGAACAAACCATTAGTCTTGCTAATAGTAGCCTCATTGTCAGATAAGTTTGCCATGCAACAGCCGCAGGACAGAGAGCCGCTCAAGGCACTTTTGCCCATGGATGGCTTCCCAAAGAATTTAAGTTGTGTTCTGCCCTCGTTTAGTCACGTCTGTGGTCTGTGAGCTCACTGCAGTAATGAGAAAATCAAATTACTGAGTGAGCTTTTATCCCCACATTCAATATTATGAGCTCCTTTTATTGCCCCATCCAGCCTTTCACAGATGAGGTGGGCTTTTAGTAAATTGATGTGGGGGCGGGGGTAGGGGGTACTTTCTCTTCTAAACTGCTGCCTTTCTCTAATGGATTTCATTCTGTTTTGTGACAGTGGTCCTCTGACAGAACACGCCTGTGGTGCTGGTTGGGAGACACCAGGCTGGCAGCTAATTGCCTGCTGGCGGATGGGTGGCCGTTTATAATAATGGCTGTGACCTGCTTGGAGGCCCTTTCCGCCAGCACTGGGCTGGGCTTTCTCCCTACATCATCACACCCAGCGGGGCCAGGGCTGCACTCTAGGCCCGTCAGGCTTCAGAGGTGACAGATTGGAAGGTGGTAGCCTCATGGTTAGGGCACCGGAATGGGTGTGTCCTGCCCTGTCCACCTCTGCTAAAGTGGCATCTGTGGTCACTCCCATTTAGAAGATGAAACGCAGCATTCTGATCAGTTAGGTCATCTTGCAGAAGGTCATGAAGTTCATGAGATTCAGACATGGGACTTGTTTGGCTCCCGCCAGTGGGCTGTACTCCCTGAGCTCTTTAGAAAGCCCACTCGTTCGTTAGGCCACCTGGCTTCCCGGGTGACGGCCACAGTAGGGCTGTACCTGGCTGGTGGAGAGGACAAATCGATTGCTCATCAAGTATGTTTCATCCGTGAACATGTCAGGCAGCTCCTTGCACACGTCCCGGGCCAGCTCCCTCAGCCCCAGCAGATGGTTGTCGATCGCCATCCCAGTTATGGCCTGGGCGGTAGGAACAGAGAACAGTAAAGAGACGTGGGCTCCCACGTGCCTCCTCCCACCTCTCCAGTCCACATTGCTAACCGGGACTCCCCTGGCCACAGTTGCTCAGCGCTTGCTGGGGACAGCGAGTGTGGGCAGCAGCCATGGCTGACTGCTTCTCCACGTGGCCTCTGCTCCTTGGGCCCTTGTGCATTTTTGTGTGCACAGGATGAGCCCAGATCCGGCTGCATTCTAACATGAGTCTGAGTCCCCTCCCACGGTCGCTGCCACGTGTACCATGTATAACCACTTGGTGCTCTAAGTGGAAGGAGCAGGCTGGCCAGGCCACCCCCAGTACCTTCTCAGGTAGGGGAGGAGTCTGGGAGAGGGACAAGTGCCGGGTGCAGGGACAGCCAAGCCCCATGCAAGCATGGCAAGGGACGCCCAGGCTGTCACCTGGCAGTCTCTCACCACAGCCAACACTTTAGCCTCCAGTGGGAACCCCAGGTGTTAAGATCTGTTCCTGAATCGCCACTGCTATTTCATGGGCCCAGAACAGTTCAACTCAGCTGGATTCAAAATCTAAGAAGTCATCTTGAGACAGAAAGTAGGCATCTTAGTAGAGGCTCAGCTGACGTTTACAAGGGGAAAGCCTGTTAAATGAAGGAAGGTTTTTTTTAATTTATCACCAGATATTTGAGTTCTTCGCAAAGGATAAGATAATAGCCATGGGGCTGCAGAATCTCTGTGTAGGAGGCGCTCCGCGTGGTGGGGAGGCTGGAAGTGGGGCAGTGGGCCAGGGCGCTCATTCTACATCTTTCCTACTTGAGGCTGCACGTGTAGCGTACACATTGGCTTTGCTTGAATTGCCTATTTATTTGGGACAGTTTGGTGGGGGCCACCTCTGGCCTTCAGTGACAACCTCTGGGTCAACATCAGACGAATTGTGGGTAACTCTTGGAGTGGGGGTTCACAGTTACCTAGGCTGGCTGCTTAGCTGTTAAGCCCCATATCTGAGGAAACCTCCCATCAGAGAGCTTTGTTCACAAGGCACGTTTGGGGATTTGACGGCTGCTCTCTTTCGGTTGGGAATGGGCGCATAAGGAGGACTCGGAGGCCCCAGGCTCTCCAGATGCACTAATTATAGGCTGGTAGACATGTGATGCAAACACCGTTCACTTTAGACGTGCCCCATTAGGACGGGGGAAGCGCTTCTGATTTCTCTGGTTTCCTCTGTTTCGTCACTGACTTCTGTAGACCTATCGAAGCAGCTACTCTGCCCCACCCCTGTTTTCACCACCTCTGAACATACATGTAGCACCTGGGGTTGAACCGGGGCTGATTTAACAGATTGTTTGGATCAGAGCCATGAGAAGTAATGAGTAAAACAATTCATCATTCAGTCTTTCTTTCATTCAGAGAACCTTAACTGAGTGCCTACTATGTGCCTGATGTTGCTGGGCACTGGAGTGACGACAGAGGACAAAGCAGTCCTAGACTCAGCCTTCATGGAGCCTTAAGTGTGGTGGGAGGCAGATATTAACCAACCATTCAAATAAACTGTGATCAGCCACTGAGGTAAGTGCTATGAAGGAAACCACAGGTGCTGTGGAAACGTGGGGCGGGGGTCTGGGCCAATTTGCTCCTTCGCTGGAATTTCCTTTCTCCACCACCACTGCCAGATGCGCTTGCAGAGATCTGGAGGGTTCCTTGGTCTTTGCCCTGCCCCTTACTCTGCATGGCCAGCCAGGCACCAGACCTACCTACGAAGCATCTTCACAGCTCTCCTCTGCCACCCTATCTCTTTTTTCAGTTGTCCTCATCAACTTAAAATAGTTAACATAAAATAACCCTATGGCAATGCTTTGGAGGACAGTTTTCTAAATGTTTTCTTAAAAATTGAAATTATTATCAAACATATTTTTATATGTCACCTCGCCAGCATTGATTCCCACTCCACAGAGGCAACCACTCAGAATACTTTGGGCATTTACTTTCTTAGTTCTCAATAACACACTCGGACGGCTATTACTGCGTTTATGTTTTACCTACAATCTTATTATAGAAGATGAGCTTTGACTCTTGTGTACCCCTGCTCCCCAAATGCACTTGTACTCCCCCATCTTCCCAGTAGTTACATTTTAACTCTTTGTTGCTTGACCAACACTCAGTGTTTACACAATTATAATTATGCAAGCATTCACAGCTGAGTCCTCAGTGTGTTATGATGAGATTTCCTCTCTTTTTCTCTAGAATTGACCATGTTTAGATGATTAAATTATGATTTTTCCCACTTGCTGAGACTTCTGTGTATCTATAACTAATTGATTCTTAAATTCTCAGCCAGAAGCACAAAACTTCCCTCAATACATTAAAATGTCTGATAACTTATTAGTTTCATTTCTCTTCTCACTTCTTGCTCGCCTATGGACTTATTGCTTCCTAATAGCTGCCAACTTGGGACCTACCTTTACTACCATTCTCTTTCTCTACCTCTTGTAGTGAATCTTCGGATTTTTGGATCCTCTGACTTTTTTGTTTTTGTTTTAATCTCTTACTTTAGTGGTCTATATCCTCCAATAGCTTTTAAAACAAGAGAGCTTAATAAATAAAAATTTTGAGACCTTATCTGTCTGAAAATGTCCTTATTCTATCTTCAAACTAGATGATAGTTTAGCTGGATATGGAATATATGTTAAAATATTTATCCTTCGAAATTTAAAAGCATTGCTTCACCATCTTCCACCTTCCAGAAATGCTGTTGATAAGTCCAATTACATTTCCACCATATTTTCCCCAAGAGTTATTTTTATTTCTTGAAAAAGAAATAAAATTTTATTTTTACTTATGGGTGCAATAGCATCCCTTATCTTTCAGAGGACTTCAATTACAGTTTTTAAAAAGTCTTTCTGTTTCCTGCATTGTTTTTATTCCCTTTAAGTTTCTTCTAAATTCTTTTAAAAATTTGTTTGGAATGGTTTTAGTCTTTTATGTTAGCAGTTCTCCTCAATGTCTGATGATTTATAGCAATCTGTTTATATTTAAGAATAAGCCGGGACGGCATGGCTCAGTGGTTGACGTTGACCTAGGATCCAGGAGATCAGAGTTCGATTCCTGGTCAGGGCACATGCCCGGGTTGCGAGCTCAATCCCCAGTTGGGGACATGCAGGAAGCAGCCAATCTATGACTCTCTCATCATTGATGTTCCTATCTCTCTCTATCCCTCTCCCTTCCTCTCTCTGAAATCAATAAAGGCATATATATTTTAAAAAGATAAAGCATTGAAAAGATGAGTAGAAGAGTGAGAATGTACTTGTCAACTGGTGGGCTTCACTGTGAGGTGAGCTGGCTGGGCTTTTTCATCGGAGACCCCCACTCTCAGTATCTGTGACTCTGTTCATTGGCCTAGTCCATTTCACCACAGAGAAAACCTTTAATCTCCTGCTTCAGTAGAGGTGGTAATAAAGGTGGTTACCAGTCTACCTGGAGCTGAGTGGCTGAAGAGTTTACTGTTAAGTAAGCAGGTTTTGATGAACCCCTATTTTGGGGACAGTATCCATTCCCTCAGCTGTACTTGGTGTCCCCAAGACTAGAGTCTTTCTTCTTCAGCCTCTCCAGAAGATAGGTTTCTAGTCCTCCCTTGGGAAGGGGAGGGCAGCAGCCTGGATCACAGGGTGGTAGAGAGGAACTGGGGGTGTAACTATTTCTTATATAGATCATCAACCAATCCTCTTCTTTCAGCCCCACATGGAGCCCTGCTTTTGGTGGACACCTCCAATGTCTGAGGTTCTGCAGTGAGGTTCGCTGCACTCCTGAGCCTCCCTCACGGTCTGAGTGGGTTTCAGCTTCCTCGGGTCTGCTAAATGAGTTGCCATGTGTTTCACTTTTCAGCTCTAAAACTTTGCAGTCACCTCCTTTCCTCTTCTCTTTGTCCTAGTGTATTTGTGGCTTAAAAAATCCCTTTGCTGATATTTTTGAGGGTTTTAGGGGGAGTGACAGTATACCCTGTATTCAACTCACCATGGCTTTTTAATCCCCACTCGAGATGTTCTTTTGTTTGTTTTTTATTTGAGAGAGAGAGAAAGAAACATTGATGTGAGAGAGGAACATTGATCAGTCACCTCGAGTATGTGCCCCTACTGGGGATCAAGCCTGCAACCTAGATATGCCTGACCGGAACTTGAACCCGCAACCTTTTGGTGTATAGGATGACGCTCCAACCAACTGAGCCACCCAGCCAGGGCTCAGTCCACCATGTTTAATCAGAGGTTTGTGCTACTGCTTCAGCCCCTGCCCCTGTTCTACTTCAGTCCCTACATCATCTCTTTCTAAATATACCGGCTCCTGCGTGTAATCAGTGTTGCTGCTTCTTGGCGGACCACCCCATGCTCCACCCAGTCCTCCTTCTACCTGGTCATCAGAGTAGCTTTGTGACAGGAAACCCCAACGTTATGAGTTCTCTTGCTCCTCTGTTCTTTGCACACACTGAGCTACTTGCTTTTCCTCCAATGTGTCTTATTCTCTCAAGACCTGATCTTTGCATATGCTGTTCCTTTCTGGGGCCATCCTTCCCTTCAGTGTCTGTTAGAAGCACCTCCTCATCCTTCAAGTCTCATATTAAGCACCACTTCCTCCAGGAAGCCTTCTTGGCTTTCCCAAGCAGAGGAACAAGCTAGTCCCTCCATGTTCTCTACTACTTCCTGAGGGCTCCTTTCAAGTGGGATTGGATTTATCATTTAAGGGCCTCCCCTCCTAACTACACAGTAAACTCCCTAATGATGAGGCTTATGGACTATATTTTTTATTTCCTAACACCCAGCACTTTAACCAAAAAATACCCACTGGATACATGAGAGTGAGCTTGATTTCTCCCAAACAGAACAAACACTTGGCTCTTCGGGTGAGTTAGGGACCTCGATTAGAGAATAAACTGAATTAGAGGAAAGTCTACATTGGCTAGTTCTAAAACCCGGTTTGCGTTGTACTTGCTCTCGACTATATAGAGTGAAGCCTGTATCAGAATGATCTGCAGTTAATATCTTGACCACCAGCCCCAGCTTATTCTCTGCTGTTTGTATGCTGGCTTGCTGTGCTAGAAAAGAAATCATTTCTCTAAACTAGGGGAACGTTTCCCTTACACTTTTAATGTCACTATTAATTCTGAGAAAAGACTTTGCACTTACAGGCAGTATAAGTAAAAGCGTGGAGAGCAAGACAGCAACGAGCAGCCCCGGGTGGGAATGAACGCCGCCTCGCCTGCCAGGCCCGGCGCCGTCCCCTTGCATCTGACTCCTCGCGTGTAAAGTAGAAATTGCTATGCCTATCTCGTGCTATTATTGTTGTTGTTTCAAAGACCATTCGTTGTATTCTTGTGAAATCCATGTAGAAAGTAGGAGTGGTGTTACCTAGGTTCTAAAAATAAGGAGGCGGCTCTGAGAGGCCAAGTTGTCGGACAGTTGGTAGCTCAGCTGTCACCCAGCTTGTGCTGTGGCCCTGCTCTGGCACAGCCCGCAGTCGTGAACTCAGACGAGGCAGGGCCTCCTCACTTACCATGACTGTGTACTCGGTCTGGGCGCGGATGGCATCCCTCAGGAGCAGCAGCTTCTCCGAATCCTGTGAACAGACCAGGCGCGAAGCACACGGGGTTTTAAGAGGCTGCTCAGCGACAGTCGAGCAGACGGGTGGACTCCTCGAGACTCCTCAGACGGAGCAGGACTTACCGGCACGGTGGCCTTGTGGTCAGTGATGGCTCTCACAAAACTCAGTGCCTCTGGAGTGGCCGATCGGATGTTGTCCACCCGTCCCTCCTGGAATCGGCGAATGGATGCGCTCTCGTAGGTGGGCGCGAGTCTGCGATGGAGCCTGCACAGGAGGAGGGATGCGAGGCGGTGGGTGATGCCTTCTGGGGACTCAGAAACGCCGGGAGAAAGATAGCCCCAGCCGGCCTTATTTTTACAGTGCTGACTTTACTTGGCATAGTATTTCATTTTAATGTTAATAGAATTCTACAGGAGGTTTCCCAAAGATGAATGTAGGGAGTCTCTAACATTAAGAGCTATGTGCATTCCCATAAATTGGTGATACTGCCCAAATATAAAATAAAAAAGTGACTGGTAGCTTTAAAAAAATCCCAATCTGGTGGGAAACCTAGAATTTCCTGCAAGACCTGATGAATGTTTGATTAATAACACAGAATGGAATAATTGTGTAATTAATCATCCATACCCTTGAGAGAATCCTGTTTTATTTAAAACAATTCAAGTATGAACTATGGATGGAGGCAGGGAGGGGCCTCAGTGATCATGTGTGCAAACTGCTGCACCATCCGGGGAACCCGGGCTTCCAACAGGCTCATGGGACTACGGGTATGCTCTCCTCCCTAAAGCCTGTGACGCGGGCAGCAACGGCCACTCCCCCCACAGCCAGGGAAGGTCTCTTCCTAGGTACGTGAACCAAGCAAGTGCTCTAGGCCTTGTGTACCTGGCTGGCACACACCTTTCTTTACCAGTCAGTAGAGTCCTTGTTGTTGGGGTTGCGGGAAGGGAAAGACACAGAACTCAGAAAAGGGCAGTGACAGCCCAAAGTCGCACAGCAAGTCATTGTCCTGGGCCTTGGCCTTCTCAGGGCACCTCTCCCATGCTGGGTGAGCTCCAGGAGGGCAGAAGGCCAAGTCCAATAGGCACAGTGCTACGCTCCGTATTGCTTGGTGAGCAAGCAAATAAACTACCATTACACTTATATCTCATTTCCCCAAGACACTGGCAGGGAGCTCATTTCCTGTGTCTCTATGGCCCCTGGAGGCAAAAATAGATACAACCGCTGGCTTCCAGGTTTTTGCTGAATCTAGGAGCAGATTTTTTAAAATTCGTTAAAGCTTAGACTCTGAAGAATGTTCTCCATGTTTTAGCTATTCAATGAGCCCAGAAGCCTCTGGCCACGTCCATTCCTGGCCATGTCCAGTGACAACAATGATCACATGAGGAGAGGGTGCCTTGTGTAGGTTCCTCTTGGCTGTGGATCTTAAGCTCTGAAGTGCTGAGTGGTGTCCCCGGTCATGGTTCCAGCTGGACCCTGACCTCATGGCCCATTTCAGCCAGTGGCTATCCAAGTATCAGGGCGGCATTGACTGCATTTCCAGACCCCAGGTCCTGCCGCAGTTCTAAGCCAGCAAGGTCTGTGTCCCGGAGATGCAGGGTGACATCAGACTTTCCCAATGAGTTGTAAGAGGACAGATGCTCACAGTGGCTGCTCCCTCCCCCAGGAGCCCCACAGGGACCCGAGGATCCACACACTGGGCCCACATGGGTGCTGCCTGCTCATTAGTGAGACTTCCTTGCTCCAGCTTCAGACAAGGTCACTTCATGGTCCCCTGGATGTTGCATTCGGAAAGCAGATCTGGGGAGACGACCGCTATTTGCTAGTCATGCCAGTTTATGAGCTGTTGCTTCTGGAACTCTGGAGCCGACCGGAGCCAGCCCTGTCTTGAGGAAGATCTACTTTGCATGTGAGTTTTAGTGCCCCATAAAATGTGAGTCAGGGGCCCTACTCTGCATCCAGCCTTACCACTGCAGAGTTTTCCTAAGTCACAGACCTGACCTCCACCCCTAGCTGACACCCGTGCAGTGTCTTCTCATGTTTGACTCAGTACCTGATGCCTACTCTGTGCCAGGTGTGGGAGGTACCCAGAGTGTCATGCTTGGGAGAGACAGTCTAGAAAACAAAGTCCATAGAACACTGGACACAGTAGTTCACATGAATAACAACTGCCACGAAAGAGAAAGAGAACACAATTGGTGCTTTAGAGAACTGGGTGGCAGGGCACCTGAGGGGCATACTTTCTGTTCACGAAAGGCCTCTGGGGGCCAACACCTGAGTAATGGGAAGGAGCTGGCAGGTGAAGGGTGGTGGTGACAGGTGGCTAGACAGAGGCACAGCCAGAGTGAAGGTCCAGAGACGGGAGAGAGCTTACGGGAGTACTCCAGGGGAGGCCAGCTCATAGGGAGCCTTTCTGAGCCTGGACTTTGTCCTAAGCCTGGTGGTAGATGATAGAATCTGATTTGCATGTTTCCAAGTTCATACTTTAGGAAGGGAGGGTACAGTGGGCAAGGCTGGAGGCGGAGACCACCGGGGCACGCTGCAGCTGACCAAGCATGAGGCGGCAGGGGCTGGGAAGGGTGGCCATGAAGGGCAAAGAGACGCATGGAAAATAACTGACACGGGGGGGATGGGAGATGGGGACAGGAGGAAACGAGGAGGAGCCTAAAGCCTTTGACCTGACTCGTCGAGGGATGCTAGTTCCATTTCATTATTGAGGCCAGAGAAACAGGGAGGTCAGGTCGCAGCTGCAGGGGCCCGGGTGGGCTGGATGAGCTCAGGAAGCTCATCTTCTCAACCCCGTGTCCCCATCGCCTGCCGGGCCTTGCTTAGCTCTGTCCCTGCCTTTGAGCTCTGTGCCCCTGAGCCACCCCCAGGCAATTGCCTCACTCTGACGCCTACCTTCTCCTTTCTGAGAGGGTTCTACCTCCAAACCCAGTTAGGTGGCACCTCCTTCCAAGCAGGCTGCCCTGATCACCCTCCATCCTCTAGGCCCACAGAAAGTTTTCCTTCCTCCAGGGTGCTTCTAGACTCTAGAGTCTACGACAGCTTGTCAGCCAGCCCCCAGGCAGGCCCTGCTCACCTGTAGAAGGCCAGTTGGAGGGCCACCTGAATAAAGGCGTCAGGGCTGCATTTCTGCTTCTTAATGAACGTTTTTCCATAGGTGTCAAACTTATAAACAATGAAGTCGAGATTCTTTACTATTCTGTGGGGGAAAAAGAAAAGATGGTTTTATTTCATGCAAAACAGAATGCACACATCCCAGAGTCTAACCAAGTCTCTCGAGCCTGCTCTCTGTCCCAGCACTCCAGAAGTTCAGGACAGTCCCTGCCCTCCAGGAGTGGGCAGTGGCAGAGGTCAGGCTGGACCAGGGCTACTCTGAGCTGGAGATGAGGCTTGAATGGGCAGGATGGTGGCCCTGCTCTGGGCTCGAAGGAGCTGGGCCTCGCTGCATGGAGGGACTTGGGGGCAGGAGAGACATTTGCAGGGGCAGGGAGAACACTGCTTCCGAACAGAACCATCAAAGCCCACTGCTCACAGAAGCAAGCCTGAGAGAGGCCATTCATTTGACCTGTCTGGGAAGGTGTGTCCAGCTTCCCTGTGGATTCTTTTGGCATCCTGGTCATTCTGCCAGATCCGCAAACCCTCTTTGTCGAGGGAAAAGCCCATTTCTCAGAAGTCTGCAGGGAGCACTCCTCAATGAGACTGGTCCTGTTCCACTTTGGGAAGGAAGCCTGGGGCCTGACGGGGGTCAAAGTCACCACAGCAAAGGCTGCTTATGGGTCACTAAAAACCCACGTTACCCAGAAACTGCTGCTGTGGCCGCTATGACATACCCAGGTCCTTACTGCCCGTGAATCATTGTCACAGCAGCAGGAGGATTCCCTGAGTCTACAATGAGACCCCTGAGCACTGGTCTCTCCCTTCCTGCCCCCTAGTAATGACCAGCCTCCACCATAATGAGCTTGGGGTCTGGGTTGACTGCCCACTGCAGCAGTGTCCAGCAAGGCCCACACCATCCGTCCACGAGCTGCGTGTGAGGTGGAGCCCTGGGAGCAATCGTGGGCCCCACTCACACACTCGCTCCCTCAGGACTTGGGCCCTGCCTGACCTTCCTTGAACATTGCTCCTGCCTCACATGACCTCAGCTCTCGGTGGGGCCATGCCAGGTTCTGGGGCTCAGCGGAACTCAGAGAGCCAGTTCCCATGGGAACTCAGCCCTCAGTCTGGACTGCTGACTCACGGCCCCCACACAGGCTGAGCTCATAGTCACAACGGCCCCCTGGAAACCTTTTGCCCACTTGGACCCCACCTTCTTCCGTGTGCAGCTCAGGAACCTCCTGCTTCCCCACCTACAGGCCTCTCTTGGGTCTCCGGTCCTCCAGAAAAATGAGCCGGGGGCCTCGGGATCAAGTGCGGCCTGTTGGAAGCCCTAAAATGAGCAAGCTCCTCCTTTTTCCCAGGGCTCAGCAACCAACTCACCCTCCTGTGGCCTGCTTATCCCCAAACAGCTGGGTAAGGCTGAGACACCAGCACCACCTTTAGCTGAACAGCGAGGGCCACTCCTCCGCGAAGGCCAGCCAGTTTCTCCAGCAGCTCTCAGTGGACTTTCCTCTCTCCGCTCGGCCCCTGAGCCCAGCCACACTCCATCCAGCTCATCTACCCTATTCCCACAGGCCCCTCCCTGGCTCCGAAACCCCTGGACAAACCTCAGGCTCCTCACAGCTTCCAGGCCCTGTGATGGAAGGAGCTTGAAGCTCTTTACAAGGTGGCCCCAACTTCCCTGTAGTGCCCCCAGCTCTGGCCATTCTCCCACTTGCAGGTCTCCAAAGCCGTCTGCATCTGTTATGAACCGCCCTTTCCCCAGCTGCCTGCAACACAAACTCCTCTCCATCCTTTGAGGCCCATCTTTCAAAGCCCTCCCTCAGTGTCCTGGCAGAATTCAGCTCCTGTCTTCTGAGGGTTCGGGTTATTGCATTGCATATCCTTGCTCTAGGGCCCACTTCCCCCACTAAAGTAAGAGGGTAGGTCCTTGGCACATTCATTTCTGTGTCCTCAGAGCCTCACCACAGGCCTGGCACAGACTGCACAAGCTAGCCGAATGAATGAACGAATGAACGAATGAATGCACTCATACTCACTCAGTGAGGAACGAACAGCCGAGGTCTGATTCAGTTGTCACCCCGCGGCTCCCTCTGCACCTTGCCCTGCCAGCACAGCTCCCCTCCCCAGGGGCCCACACCCGTCCCTGGCCCCCTGCCTGGGTCCCATTAAGGCCCGAACTGCCTTTGGGAATAAAAGCCCCCTTGTCAAGTTGCAGTGTAAATTCAAGCAAATTGAAATAGCTTGGATTCAAATGGACTATTCAAAGCAGTTGTTTATTCCCCTCCGAACAGGATAATTTCCCCGCCTGGACTCTGCTCAGTCGGGTGAGACCCTTGGAAATAATAGCTCCACGTTTGTATTTTATGGAAATGATGGAGCCTTCAGCAAGGCTATTTCCCTGAGAGTTATAACTCCCCTTAGTTTGCCTACATTTCCATGCGGGGTGGGGGGCGGAGGAGCTGGGGTCTCTGGAGCCTTCCAGGGGCCTCAGTGGCGGGGGGG